TATTAAACATGTTTTTATTATGAAATATAAAATCAATAAGTTTTAAGTTTATGTCGAATTTATTGAATGTATAACTTTGAAATACAAAAAATGAAGCATAGTTACTTAAATTGTAATTAAAAATCAAGAATTGTTAATTGTGCCATGTATATTATTCTAATTGAACATTTAACTAATATCCAAATTATTCTAATGTTACTTGGTTTATTTCATTAAGTTGAATGGTTTGTAATTAGGTTATATTTTCAAGGTAATATTTGTAAACCTTGCTAAAAATTATTAAAAATCCTTATTTTCAGTTGTTTTCAAATTAAATTGATTAAAAATTAGCACTAAATACAATAAATATTTTTGAATATTTCACATTAAAAGTATTTTAAGTTTAATTCATTGAATACTGAGCACAATATTTGTCAAATTCTGTGACATATTCTGGAAATTCTGTTGTAATTGCATTGTATTGTATGTGAGCGTGGAGTACGATATTTATGAACAGCCCTCAGCAGTGCCTTTCAAATTGAAAATGATTTGAAAGAAAAACACAAAATATTTGTAGTTTTTGTGTTCATTTGTTTCAATGAGTTTGCATTCAATTGAATTGTTTTTCATTTCATAATTCACTTAATTTTGTGCACAAAATGTCTTCACTATCAGTGAACGTATCGGTGGAACCGTTAGATGAATATCAGGTGCAAGAAATCACATACGATGGACAGGAGAAGTATATTCAGTGAGTATTAGACCGTTTGCTGCAAATGGTGTCCATTTTAACCGATATTATCGTGGATTCACTTGAAGACCGCTTTCGATGTCCGAGAATCTGACGAAAATGGTTCAGAAGATAGACTTCGCGAAGATTGACACCGAAGCCAGTGATGGCACGAATGGTGTGGAAGCCATGGATGAGACACCAGAAGTGGAGTCGAAAGAGTTGGCGACTTTCCAGCCCTCCCTCTGGCCCTTCGACTCCATCAGAAATAAACTCAAGTATTGTCTCAAATGTCTTGTCTTTGACCACTCATTACTAAACATATGGTTTGTTGTCAACACTTAGACAAGCGTTGACTGAAGTGACAGTTCTTTACGACGTCCTCAGTATATGTAAAGACAAACGATATCTGGTTTTAGATCCCGTATCTCANAACGATATCTGGTTTTAGATCCCGTATCTCAAGAGCCCATCGAAAACAAACCGATCACTGCTTTGGTCGCCAAGAAAAAGGTTTAGTGTTTTGAGCACTTGATTACCACTTAATACTCATGAGTATTGTGTGTCTGGTGTCAGGCATTGGCGACTGTGGCCACCATTATATCCAATGGTTGCGATCGCATGCGTTCGGCACAAACGGAGGCCAATCGGAACCGATCGACAGATTTTCATTCAGAACTCTTTCAGATGAGACAGAACTGGAGGTTAAGAAAGAAAGAAAATTCAATTCTCGGAGATCTTAGTTATCGAAGCGGTAATCAGTTTTCAATGAATTATATATTCATTAAAACTACAATTAATTGTCTGTCAATTGAAAGCCGGATCACGTTTTCCACATTCGGGTACTTTTGAAGTGACCAAAAACGAAGAGCAGTGCACTTCCGGCACGGGTTCGCGCGCCAGTGCTCTCAAAGTGAAGGTGCCGTCAGATCTAGAGGGCGGCAGCTTTTTTCAGGTCAAAACACAAAAAGGTAGGACTGTTATGCCATTTGTCTGAATGTTTGTACAATTTGTGTATTTATTTGTGAATTAGACAACGAAGTGATAGGTGATGGCGAGGCATCGGTACCCATACCTCCTGTCTTGCAGTCCAATGTGGACCTCAATTGGCATCAAAAGCTGGAAAACGCTCAAAACGTTTTGTTCAATAAAGAACTGTTTGCACAGTTAGCTCGAGAAGCAGTTCAGTTGCAAC